GAGATATTGAGAAGTTCATTGAACTGTTGCAAATACCTAGTTTGACTCAAAGCTTTTCAAAAGAAAATTTTGCATTGCAGAGTTCATTGCAAAGGTCTGTTGCTCTAAGTAGTAATAATATTAGTTAAGAATGAGTTAGGAATCTTACCTTAAAAGACAAAGTAAATAAGGTCACTGCTGCATTTAGGTATAGTGATAATCCAGCATAGTTTCAGCTTGTTTCCTTGTGTGTTTCAACACAAGGAAAAAGTGACTTGTGTTTCTTTGTTGAAATGGTAAAGCCCCAGGTGTTTCTCCCAGGTATTTAGAAGTACATACCAATACATAATAAACAAGAGGGAGCAGAAGTGCAGTAAAAACATTGTAAATTCTGTTAAAGATTAAATCAGTCCAAAAGAGTTGATAGAATAAGGAAAAATCTACTTTGCATAATGATATAAATACCAAGAGATACTCTTGTGTGTAACAGAAAAAGTGACTTCATAACCATTTCCCCTGTTTTTTTTCATTTCATGGGTTTAACAAAAATTAAGTTGAAGATCTAGATAATTTTTAAAAGATGTACTGTATTACAAATGTCAGAAATTATTCCATTCCATATACATGGTGGGGAGGAGCTCCTTGCCCTATTTATTTTAATTAATAATAACATTGTTTATTACATTTTTTATCTTGTACGTCCAGCACTTGAGCAGGCAGGTGGAAACAGTCTAGCTGTATTTTACTAATGAATTTCTCTGGGTATACAGTATGACTGTTATGAAGGTACAATTAGATGAGTGAGCTGTTTTTCTAGAGTATATCTTCTGCTATTTTCATGTATGATCTTGTAACAGATGAGCATTATTTACCTGCTTTCCTGGAATAGCAGATTGTGTTTCTTTGTACAGGGGATGTTAAGTGAATTAAGTACATGAGCAGTTAGCCCATTCGCTTAGGGAGGCTGGTGTTGAGACAAGGAGGTTATGGCAGGATACAGAGCAGTCTGGAGGAAAAATACTGTGGATGTAACCATTCTGCTAGAAGAACTGAACTGAAATGGGAACAGTATTGTTAGTTCATGTGTAATTACATTCCTTTGTTGTTAAAAATTAAATCCCGGGCAAGAGGAAAGTTGAGCCTGGAACTGTGTTTTGAAGCAAATTTAGCTGATGCCTTTCCAAAAACCTCTGGAGATTGCCAGGATGTAGTCACCAGGAGGTAGTTACCTGATGGACAGATTTATGGTTTTTTATCGTCTAACTTTTCTGTGAGTTTATCAGGATCTTTCATCATGCAGGTTGTTTATAAAATACCACCTACTACAAAGTTTTGCTTCTCTTCCTCTCTCCTCTCCACTACACCACAGTTGAGGGAAGGATTCACCATGCACTTTTCTTTCATGTTCAACCTCTGGGTCAGCCATCAGGAATTCCCTGTTCTTTGAGGCTGGCATTTAAATCTGCACAAAAATCTTTGCAGATCACCGTGCTTCATGTGATCACTATCATAGGACCAGAGGCCCCAAAACCCTCCTTGCAGAAGTAATTCTGCAGGAGTCTCAGCAGGGATATGGATTGCAAGGCCTTTGTACCCTGAGATTTGTACCTTAAAAAATTGTGCATGCGTTTTCTGCAACATGGGAGCATCCTGCAGCATTCCCCAGGTAAAGTATGTTTTAAAATGCTTTTATTTTCACATAATGATTATTCTTCCAACATCTCCGCCTCCCCCACCCCTCCAAGATGTTGTTTTTAACTGCATTTTTTTATGGGAGGAATTCCCTTTCACTAGGAACTGTGGAATTACTGCATCTGAAGAGTACCCCCTTTTTGCTCTTTTCCATCAGTGTGCCAGTCTGATGCATCTATTTTGGATGTCAGTTGCTCACATTTCTACCCCAGGCTGTAAGTTCATCTTTTCACAGGAGTATCAGTTCAGACATTTTCTCAACTGCTTGTTTCTCTGGTGCTTGTCCCTCCATTGTCCCCCGTTGTACTGGTATGTACGTCAAGATACTGGACTTTGTTATTTCAGCTGAGAGGTGGCACACCAGTATGATGTCCGAGTCTGGCATCCTTCGTACAGGCCATAACACACAAAAATGATTGTCTTAGCTTTTGCTGTGTTTGCAGGCAAATGAAGCTTAATATCTCTGTCCAGGCTCCAAATTACCTATGAGATTCTGTATTTAATTATTTCGATCTGCATTGCTCGTGGCTTTTCAACCTCTATTAGACTTCCCGTCAGAGAGTGCCGGCACCACAGAACAATAAGGTTCGCTGGCTGGCCCTCTACTTTATTGTGTGTTGTCTTTATTGTATTTGTGGGATTTATTGCTATTTCACTACAAATCTTCACAATCTTTTTTTAAGTTCTGAAAAGTTACAGAATTGGGTTAAGAATTAAAAGGCTTTCAAAGCATCCTTGTCCTGAAACAACTCTGCAGGGCATGAATAAGTAAAAAGTGGATTGTTTTTCAGTCAAAATGAATCAGCTGACATGACCTTCCCTGTGAAAAATCTAGTTGAGTTTTTACAGATACCTGTAGGGTTATATTTCTCCCCTCTTAAGTTATACAAGAATTTAGATTACCTTGAATCAGTGATCATAGGCTGAATTGACCTCTGAAATTATAGATCATCTTGAACCTTGTGAGAAGATCAAAACGTATGGGATTCTGTGTTAGAGAGGATGTATTTTGTCTGTGTTTTTACAGTATACATTTGGCATGACACTGGGTTGATCAGATGATTTCCTGAAGCCACAATTTAGTTCTTCAGGGTCTGACTATGTCATTTTTTTAGAAATACAATGTGCAGTAAGAAGCCATACTGGTATTTATAGTTGTTGATTCACAATAATTCCAGACTAGATAGAGGTGGATATTTAAAGAAGATATCAGCCGATTGAAGATTTTGAGGAAATACTGCTTGCAGTTTCATTTTTAAAATGTTTTTTCTTTCTCTTATATGTCAGTCCATGTTAAATATGTGTATGAAGTTATTATTGCCATGTATGTTATAATTATACCTTGTACAGACACGAGGTTATAGTTTTGTAATAAACACCTCCAGTATAAGTTGTACTGTGGCATAATTAACCATCACGTCTTTTTTTCAACATCTTGTTACTTTCAGTATAAATCTTCTGGAAGGACCATAAATAAATAGGTGGTCTTAAGTAGCTTTTCTTTTTCCCCAAGGTGACCTTAATTTATGAGATAATAGGATTTTTTTTGAACTTTCTTAGAAAACACTCACTTTAGAGATGAAAAACTTTGCTTTTTGCTTCTGATAATTAGAGAGTCCCAAATCTGCTCAGATTAGACTAATCTGGTCTTCCCATTTCATGTCTTTCGCTAAATGTCTTCACTCAGCTTTCTTGCCTCTCTTTCATCAATGTAGTGGTTTATTCCTACCCGGTGGCATATAAGGAGGTGGCTGAAGGAGCTCCATTGAATGCTTTTTCAGGAGTTTGGCCGTATATTCTGAGTTGTGTTCTCTTTTTAACATCTGGCAAGTGTGAAATTTTAAAGTTGAGTGTTTTCACTGGGGTGTTGAGCATTCCCTTACATGGTTTCTTGTAAATCTGTTACTTTTCACCAGTGGGAAGGATAGAAGCACTGGGACAGAAGTGCTGGTCTTCAGTCTGCTTAGCTTTGCATGAAGCCCGTGTGCCAAATTTTTAGTATATGCCCTGCCATGCGGTCGATGAAGTCTGTTGGCTGTGGTCACTGGGATAGCTGCTTCCAGGACTTGCCTATTGAGAGACTTGCAAACAAGCTGGGAAGGCAGTGAGGAAGACTGACAGCTGTGAGGTCAATCCCACAGCTTTGGCGGTTAGTGTGTGAAAAGGTCCTATGGTAGCATTGGTGATGATGCTGTGATATTAATCTTGAATACCTCTAAAATGTTCTGTATTATTAAACCCATAGTGGTAATGTCTATTAATGGCACTGCTATGGGAAGGTAACGAGACACCTTTAGAGCCCTCTGGTAGAAGTGTTTCAGGATCTCATGCTATTATTTCTGAAAGAGCATGGTAACAGAGAACATCGGGAGGTCTCGGGAGAAATTAGGCAAGATAATGTGATTGCTGAAAAATTAACACAAGTCGCAGGTGTATGATAAAAGTTTTAAAAAGTTTTTTCAAACCATATAAAGTAAAGAGAAAAACTAAAAGCGACTCCCCAGGCAGGGCTGAAATAGATGGATTGTATCTGCTGAGGCTTAGTCTTGTAGTATTTGGCATAATTTGAAAGTTGAAGTTACTTTAAAATTTATAGCTGTTTCTAAAAAATTCTTGAAAAACAACTTCAGATTCTGTTTCCTGAAAGTGCAAAGGTTCTGCTAAGTACAGTAGGTTTCCTTGTTTTCATGTGTTAATTCTGGTATTCTAAAAGCGTGCAAATGGCATTTGTCTTTGGATTTACAAAAACTCTGGATATTCAGAGTTTGAATTATTTAAACTCCCACAACACATGCACTTTTGCTTTTCAAGCTTGAGTTATAATTTAATTAAAAACTTCTGGTGCATCGCTAGCTATTTAAATATTAAAATGTTCCATGGATCACTTTCGATTATCTACCGTCATGAAATTCCTGAAGATGTCAGATTTTTAAGATTCCCAAAGTTGCACTTGGAATTGTCTGTTGATGCAAAGGGGACTGTGATAATTACATACATCCATTAGTATCAGCAGAGGAGATAAACTTTGGGGAGGCTTAATGGGCATGTCTCAGTGACAGCTAGCAAAGAACATTTGGCATGATTAAGGATGGATTTGAATGTACTTGAAAATATACTCTCATTATGGACGCCCAGTGGAAGTTGCACTACAAATGTTAAATTCCCCAGAAGAAGAGTTGTGTGGCAGGGAAGCTTTGAAATCCACTGTGGCCATCATCCAAATTACTCTCTTCTCCTTGTGACTTTCCGCTGTCAGATTCACTTTGTGATGCCCAACTTGGCTCCCTGCATCTTTGAAAAGAGGCAACCTGTTGGTTTCTGTGTTTCAGATTGTCCGAAGATACATCAAGGACTGGCTTGAAAGGAAGAAGCCTCCATTTGGCGCTATCAGCAGCTGCGTGCTCCTGATGATCATCTACACAACATTCTGTGATACTTTCGCCAATCCAAATATTGACCTTGATAAATTTAGCTTGATTATAATAGTGTTCATAAGTAAGTTCAGCCTTAAAGCATCTCTTTTATCTGTGTTTTAGGTGTGTAATGAGCTATATGTACTGGAAAGGGTGGGCCTGCAGGGATACTGGCATGGGGCTAGAGCTTGTACTTTTAATGCGTCTAGTAAACCAGATTACCAGACTTCTTAGGGGCTGGATGCTTTTAGGGGATTGAGTAAGCATTTAGAGGGGGATGAACCCTGCTATTTAGGTGTGCCTGAGATTCCTCAGTGGTCCTCCCTTTCTAAAGGGGCACAATATTACTTTCCAAGTTTTTATGACCATTCTGTTTTGGCTTCTTTGTTAAACAACCATAAATGCACAGATGTTGCATTCTAAACAGGAAGGAAAAATTTGGGTTTGAGCTGTTACTCAAAAGCACTGTTATAACTTTTAAATAGTTCTTCCTTACCATATTATAAACCTAGAAACTAGTTGGGAGTTTGAATGTGTTGATATGTTTCTGTGGATGAACACATTTCTTGCGGAGTTTGTTTTAGAAGGACTCTAGTCATTCAGCCTTAAATAACGTACACATGAGAATAGACTGCTGGTATCCTTGCTATCAGTTAAAAATACACTTGCAGATCACTACCTCCCAGGGAAAGGCAGTGGTACACAGGCACTGTCTCCTGTGCCAGTAGGGAATTCCCATCTTACTTCAGACTGTCCAGAGACAGGAGTTTCAATTTGCTTGGGGGAGAGGTAACTACAGTATACTACAGTGTAAATCACATCTCATACACTCTAAAACCGTTAGATTTCAAGAAATCAATGCATCACCTACCTTGAAGTGTGTGTATGTGCACATGTTTCTGTCTAATAAAAATAATGTATCTTCTATAAATCCAACCTCCACTAAAGTCAGTAGGAAATTTGCCCCTGCCCTTTGTGGGTCAGTTCTTATTCTATCTTAATTGTGGCAGTTTTTTGGATTATGAAACACTGTATGTGTGTAAAATATTACATGGAATTATAAATGGTACTGTATAAATACTTTTTTCTGAAAGCAAAGAAGAAGGAAGACATGCTAAGGAGCCTTTTTTCAAAATGGAGGAAATAATTGTTTGGATAGGCACCACATCCCAGATGCACTTAATCAGTGCGGAGTTGTCAGCAACAAAGAGGGATATGGAAATTTTCAGTTCTGACTTACATGCAGAGAAACTCAGAATTAAGTAATTTTATGTTACTGTGCTGACGGCTACCTTGAGAAAAAAGTTCTTTTTTAGTAAAAAAGGCATGTTCTTCCTTGAACAGTCAGTGTAGAATGGTTGCTTCCATTGCCTTTCTTGTCCTTTCTTTTATTTCTCTGCAAGACAACTCTGCATTTGTGCCATGTGTAATTATATATACCACTTGCAGTGCAATACACTGAAAATCATTATATATACATTTTCATTGCCAGTGTGCATAACTGGAGTTTCTTAGTAAGAATATTAATGTGAGCATTGAAACTGCTTGGAACATATTAGATATTTGTTTTTTTCTAAAACATTTATAAAACCAAAAAACAAGGAAGTTGTGGAGATGGATATGCACATTGTATTCTAGAAAAAGTTTCTGTACCACCATTGGATGTGTTGGCTAGATGTGTGTACTGTGTTATACCAGGATGTGAAATTAGCACGAGGAATTTGAGATGAAACTGCATTTACTGTTCTGCTGATTAATGTTTTTATCTAATTTTTATGTTAATATTCTAGCCACAGCAAAATATGCACAAGGGATAATTGGTAGCAACACATGCTTATTGCTTTACAGAATTATATGTATTAAGGGATTTTTTTTTTCTGTGCATATTAAATTAATGTACTTAGTTGTAGAAAAATTGTAATTCAGGAACAATGGATTGCTTCCTTAGTTCATGAAGGAAGAATTAAGTGCATGCTGAGGTGACATTTATACATCCTAGGAAATGTATGTAAGAGAATGGAGAATGTCACTGGTAATAGCTAATATCCCTGCCATGTTGCCCAGTTGTAAACTGGGGTCAAAATCAAATGTATTGTCTTGGCTTGCACTACCCTATGGGACACATCAGCCTTATTGCATTCACAAGTTGTGCAAGGAGAAGGGGGAGGACCCACTCCAGATTCTGCTGCAAGAAAAAGCCCTTCCCCCCATAACCCACAAACACCCAGAAAACGTCTGTGCAGGTCACAGGGTTTCTCCTCCAGCTCTGTGGGGAGTTCCTGCACTCTGGCACGATGCTCAGTCTCTGCAGTCCCAGCAGCTACTCATGGCACGACGGGGAAGCTGCCTGCTTCTCCCCACGTCTCCGCAGACCAAGGGTGGGCTCTGTGCATCCCACAAGCCCTGCGGGTGTCAGGAGGGCTGGCAGAGAGGAGAGCTCCCCTCAGGATGCTCAAAAACCATCCGCACTTACAAAGCTGACTAGCTTGAACGAAAGCTGCTTTGTCGGATGTACACTGCCCAGTTCAGGAATTGGCCTTTGTCTCAGAGGGAATTAAAACATCTATGATGGTCTTCTCTTAATAGTGATCGTTCATCAGGAGAGTAATATACCCAGTGTGTGAGAATATTTATTGTGATCATGTTTACACGTTGTACTTTCTCCTGTTAAATAGAAAGGGGCTAAATTTAAATACTTGGCAAACAGAGCATGTCTGAGAGATTTTATTTTGTCAATCCAATAAGCAAAACTAGCGCAAACAGATGTGCAGCATGCAGTAGTGAACTTTCCTGCCATTCATCGTGTCAAGAAATACTTGATTCACAAGAGTTACCTCAAGAAGAACTTGTGTAGCCACAATACTAGCTACAGCTTTCTTGGATGTAATGATACGTATTGTTCTTCCAGACAGTCTGTCATTGGATTTCTCTGGATAGACTTGGTCCAGCCTAGCTTCTGACCTGTTGTATGGGGGCAAGAGGCATGTACACAGCAATTGCAGAGATTTAAGTGATCTTTACTTCTGTGATCTAAGTCTAATTTTAACTTGTTTCTCTTTCAGTATTTTCTGTTCAGATGAGCTTCATGTTTTTGACTTTCCTCTTCTCTACAAGGTAATTGAATGTGCTGAATCAGAACCTTTGAATATTTGTTTTGTGTGGTATCTTTGGTTTGGGTGATACAATTTATGCAAATGTGTAAGGGCAGTTTTCTGAATAGGGGTGACCTCATTTTGGTATTTCATATTGTCCTTACTGCATTTTCTCTGTCAGAGTTTCATAGGCTAAGAGAGCAGGACCTGAATTCTGTCCTTTCTTGTGTGTTAATTACAGAGTTGTTAAATCTCAATCAATCACTGCTATACCTCATCCACTGAAAAAAATGGATTTGCACAGATGTCACTGAAGGTATAATTTGCCCTGCAGACATGCTGATGACATATGAGAGAGAGAACTCAGTTTGACTTTTTACATCTAAAGATACATTTGCTGGGCTGGCAATTCACTCTTCTCTGTATATGTCAAATGTGTTACATTTATATGGTGATTCTTAAAAGACAGTTGTCCTGAACTAATGTTTGGTAGAGCTATTTTTTTTCTTTTTAAATATCAACCAGGAAGAACAGTTGTACATTCACTTCTCAAAAAATAGTACAGTGAGAATGGTGTTAGCCAGTGTGCATCACTTGAGCTGGTCAGAGTATCCACCATTGTCCTCTCACGTAGGCTTACTGGAGTATTTTTCTCACCAGCACTCTGCTGAATGGGAAGTGCCACAATACAGCAGACTCCAGACATATGCTTTATATAAATTTATAGAAATTATACAATATCTATATGGGAGAATCACAAAGAAGGGCGCAATGTCTTAGAGCTACTTCTGCTTTTTTAGTGCCACAAGAAAATTTCTTTGTGACAAGATCATACCCTGACCTTAGAAGGCATTTTTAAATAACTTTTGAACTGCTAGACCTAACCTGGGGGGAAGATATGTCCCACCTGTAAAATCTAAAATGCTGTAAGTAGTAACCAACTCAGACAATATGGTAAATATTTAGAATTTCATAAAATGATTCCTAATTTGGACCCAAGGGTGATCCATTGGCCAGTTATATACCTTTCTCTGTATGTCATTTTTCCACCCTTCCTGGCCTTACTCCCAGTGTGTAAACCCTTAGATGCAGTTTTTGTCTGAAGTGGAAGATAACTACATATTCTAAGCAGTACTTATAGCATAGATTCAATATACTATCTAAACTGACACATTTTGTTAACATTACATTCTAGGAAAAGAAATCGTAGGTCATTCTCTTTTTTTACAGAGGCAAGCTGGCCACTGCATGTTTGCAAAAATAACCTTGGCTGGAATAAAGTTGTGTCCTACATACCATGTGTTCAGAATTCCTTTCCTTCGCGTGGAAGCGTATTCATTAGAGAATTTGCCACAACTGGAAACAATTCTGCTTTTAAAAAAAAAAATCAAACACTACTGTTCATTTATGGGTAGAATTATTTCTGTCACTAGACCTGATCAAAGTGATGTGAATGTGCATATGGATCCTCAAAGTAATATATTTGATCAATGATGTTTTAAGAAGGTTTTTGCTATCAAAGATTATAAAACTCTTTCTTTTCTAGGAATAACTCTAGTTTCACACCAGCAGACACAGTGGCTATCATTTTCTGTTCCACACACAAATCCCTCACCCTGGGTAAGTCAGGAGATAAGCTTTTGAGCAAAACAACAGTAACATTCATACTTTGCTGTGTTGAAAAAAAATGTTGTTGGTTGCTGGCTTTTCTGCTTAAATGGTTTTGGGTTTAGTGTGACAAGTAATGCTACCAGTATGATACTAATAGTAGGATAATATTCTTGCACAGGTAAAATAAGTGCTTATTACAAGGCAGACAACATATTCTTCTCAGCTGAGATTTTAGTGGTTATACAGTAAGACGACTTTATTTATGGAAAGCTGGATTTTTCTTTCTGTTTTCATTCTGTTCTGTTGCCTAATCCAATATTGATAACATTTCAGGTTTGTTACTGAAAACATTGTAAGGTATATCTGCCCAGTCTCACAGTAAAATCTTACACCTAAAAGTTGGGATGTACAAAATCAAAGCATGTAGTGTATTGAGAAATCACAAATAGACAATACTGTCTTTTGCTTAACATGAGAAAAATGTATGTGTTTATTTTAAGCCTGCAGATATTTTGGATAGTTTTATTTATTAGAATTCATTTATCAAAATATCACTGAGATATTTGTCACTTATGACCCCTTAGTGATAATAAGATGTTCTGATGGAAATTCACAAAATACTGCTAAATCAGTGACGCTTACAGCTGCTTGCTACTGCTTCATCCATTGTGTTCAGTCAGTGAAACGACTAGTACTTGAATATTTTCTTACTGTTTTTCAAAATATGAAAACATGTGTTTGATAAAGCATATGTGACTGAATATATGCCTTTTCAAGACTCTGTCTGTCAAAGAGAAACACAGCTGGTGTCAATAACAAAGGTAAGAACTCAGCCTGAAACAGGCGAAGAATAAGTTGGGACTTAGGTGAGATGTTTTCCAAGTCAGTTTGATATAGCGAAACTCATCTCAGGGTTCTTTGCTTCAGCCAGGCCTGTGCTGCACAACTGTTAGCAAGTGCCCTTGAAAGTCTGTGGGAAGTGAAGGAGTTCCTGGAAGACAAGAAAAAGGCAAACATAATGCCTCTTTTTCACAATGGAAACGAGGAGGGGACGAGGAATTATAGATCAGTGAGTTTAACTTCATTTTGTAGAAAACTACTGAAACAAGTAATTAAATACATTATTTTAACAGTGTAGGGAGAAACAAGGAAATGAGTAACAGCCCCGTAGATTTGTCAAATGCATATCATACCAAACTAACCTAATTTCCTTTCACACAAGGTCCTGTGGGTTGCAGAGAAGTAGCAAAAGTTGTATGGCTTGAGAGCGTAATGGCTTTTGACATTTGCATGACGTTTTGGGCTCCACAATTGAAAAATTATGTGGACCAACTGGAAAGAGATCAGAGGAGAGTGCCATGAATGATCGTAGATTTCAAAAACATGACCCCGGAGGAAGGTTGAAACAATTGGGATTGTTGAAAGAAGACAGCTGAAATACAGTAGTGATCTTCAAATGCATAAAAGGTTGATGCAAAGAAAGAAAAAAGTAATTCTTTCACAGTGGACTTTGAAAAGGGAAGGACTTTGTTCCAATGGTGATGATTTAAGCTAACAATCAGGGAAACCTGTGTAATGTAAAACAGTTTAGCTTTGGAATGTGTTGCCTATTGATGTCTTGAATCTCCTATCACTGACGACGAGCCTCAGACAGGAATTAGATAGCTAGAGCTGATCCTGCCTTGGAGCTCAACATAGATTAAATGACATTAGGTCTTTTTCAGCCAAATGTTCTATGAAACTGAAGCTTCAACTAATAATTGAGCTTGTATTCAGGACGACAGTTACACTTGTATTTATAGAAAGCAACCCCACACGTAAGTCGTAACACACTACCATACTTGCTATTGGGAGGTGTGTATAGACTTAGTGGTTTACTGTGATACTACAGAAGAGAAGCTGGTTGTATTTAACAGCACAAATGTGTAAGTCTCCCCTTCCTTCCCCAGTGAAAGTAGTTTTATATACGCTCTGTTGAATACTTCTGCAGCTTGCCATGACACTAAGAAAATAAGCACAAAGCCGTTTTTAAATATTTAAGTCCTAGAGGGGCTTGCCATCAACCAGAAAAAAATGAGGGCTCTTCATTTCTTTTACTCACTCTACCAAGCGTCCTCATGCGGCCTGTCTTGACCTGTACCCTATGCACACAGCTGAGTCAGTTCACTTTTCTTCTGCTGCTACACTCCTTTTTTGTGTTTTATTTTCTCCTTTATAAGAACCTAGTTTGAGGTTCCTAGCTTGCTTGACTTTTTGGCTCACATTTTCCAAGTTACTGCTCTCAGTAGCAGAGCCTGATGAGTCAGGCTTTGTATTTTGCAGCTTTCTTCGCCCAAGCACACCAACAAAAATACTTTGGCCACCTTGACTTCAAGGACTCCTACAGCTTCGCCCAGCCATACTCCCCATGCTTTTACCCTGCTAATACATGTCTCATGGATAAGTGTGCAAGTTGAAATGAAACAGGTAGATGGTGGAACACAGTATTGCGGGACTGTTTCTCGGCTACAAACTGTTCCGTTTGTCAGCTTCAGGACAGACTGCTTTACCTTCATCCTTGAAGAGCTGGAGTCTCATGGAAAGCAAGTTTGCCTCCTAGGAGGCTAGTCACAAGATGTAATTTGTTCTTAGCTTTGCACTTTTGCACTACCTTTCCTTACCGCTCAGGTCCTGCATTGAGATTGCTGGGTGGTTGGGACCTGTGCTTCCCTTGCTGTATTCCATCTCTGGGGCTCAGCTTTGTCAAGGTTTCATTGAGGCTCTCAGGCTTGTCTTGCGTGGGACCAGCAGCAGCGTGTCCTGAATTGAGCATCATCCCTGATGGGGAAATGCTCTTTTTGGCAGTCTCTGGGACCCCATCTTTGGTAAGCCTGAGTGCACCGCTGCTCTTGTGTGCACCCCTACGGAGTGTGTGCACTATGTAGGCGTGCCTGCTGTGTATCAGTTTTTGAGACCACTGGTATTTTACTCTGTCTGGTATTAGTACCAGCTTCAGATAAGATAGAGCTGCATAAACACACATTTCTATGTAAACAGGGAGGATTGGGTTTTATAAAGCTGTAGTGCAATGAGGCGTGCCCCTAAGCTGATGATGTAAACAGGAACGTTAATCAGAGCAGCTAGCATTTATTCCTTCACTGAAGGTGGAAGCAGAGTAGATCTAATTTGTTTTTGAGGATCAGCCATTTCTGAATGACAGTTAAATCTGTCCACAGCACAGTCTTGTCCACCCTGTCTTAGCAGAAACAAGAACAGACATAGGCATTTTGGCCCTTACTCTTTTGTTGTTCTGTCACGTTTCTACTTGTCCAGAGGTGTTTACTATAAACCATGCAACGAGAAACCTTCTGTTCTCTTGTAGCAGAGAGAGTTTTTCCCTCTCCCCCTGTCATTACAATGCCTGAAAGCACAAGCACAGCTCAGGGTCTGGTTTCACATCCGTCGTGGAGCTCTGCTTTGTTTGTCTTCAAGATTCCAGTGGTAGTGTATAAATGACCCCCCAACACTTGTTCTTTCGCTTTGAAACTGATTTCTCTCAGCTTGGCAGGTGAAACTCCAAATAGGTATGTCTGGTCCATTCCCTGGGGAGCTTAGAATGGCACCGACTAAAGTGGGAGAAGAGCTGACAGCTTTAAAGCTTTAGAAGTGGTAATAGGAGAGGCATGAGAAGACTTTCATAAGTCACTTTCTCCCACACCATATTATAAAACCAACTAATTCCCATGCAGTGCATGCTCATGAGGCCAACTGCCACTTCCACTGTTGAATCCATGAATAAGTGCTTGCTCTGCACGGAGATGAGTGCTGTTCCCATATGCTGGGTTTTATTTTGTAGACAGAACAGTTGACACACTTTTTGTCTGAAAGATCAGAGTGCAGGGCATGTTTGTGTAAGGACAAATTATGTGGGGTAGGTGCCTTTGTGTTTCTTATTTAGGAACACAAGCCGATATTTCTGCATAGAAGTGGGTGCTTTGGCAGTTTTTTGAATACAGTGCATCATGTATGCAGAAAAACTAATGTTTATTTGTATTTCACTTAATGAGTGAAACAGGATATAAACTTACAAGGAGCGAAGATAAATATAGTATTCACAATGCCCTCTGGCATGTTCACCCACACTTTGTTCTCTTTCTCTCCTTCTCCCTACTCACATATATGCACAGTACTTGTGAGCACACACATATGCGGACATTTGATGCATGGCTTTTATTAGTGCATTTGCCATTGATTGATTAGTACTTAGTATTAGTACTTCGTCTATTGATTGATTGCAGATGAAGTGACTATTTGACCTTTAATTATGAGCCTTGCTATTGAAAATGACATTGAGCTATGGCTTCACATAATCCATCTGGAAAGCCCGACATGATGCCATTCCCTGGAGTTCATTCAGTGAGAAGAGAAGAGGCCTCAAGGAAGTGCAAAGCTATCACTGTGGCTCATCTAAAAAAATACTGCAGTTGTTGCTTGCACTTACATAAAACTTGCAGAACATTATTTTATTTTTTGCAGAGAGTGAATTGCTAGCTAGAAGTTACAACTCCAAAAGTAAAATGCAGGATTGTCAAAAAATATTTTCACAGTAATTCATTGTATTTACTATGTAAAATTATTTTATCAGCAAAAAATGGAGTACTGCTCCCTATTTTGGCTACCACAAGTGCAAATATTAGTATTTTAGGTATGATGAACTGCAGATTGGTAAAAAACAAAACAAAACAACAAAAATAACCCCACCTTATAATAAAATCAGGGTAGTGTTTGGATGCAGAGTGCATTTTTCCTCATTTGGATTTATCAATGTAGCAGTTCTTTCACCATGGAATTCTTAAAGTAATGCAATCAAAGTTTCTAGGCTACAAAATACTTTCAGGAAAGAATAGAGTTCATTTTGCAAATAAAAGCCAAAGCAGTAACTTTCTTTTGTATTGTTTTAATTTCATTCAAGTTTGTTTTTTAAATACTCAGCTTCTTACTGCACGAATACGGAACTGATAGTCTGTACT